AAAAGTTGATTGAGGCCAACCCTGCACTACTATTGTGTAGCGAGAGAGGTTCGAAGCAGCTTTTACCCGATTAAGGTGGGGATCGATTTCCACAGGGAGCTAGAAGCTGGAGTTGGGTGTCTATCTAAAGTGGAGTTGTGTAAGTGTTCCAAATTGCACTTCTAAACATTTTTGGGTTTTGATTTACTTCTAATTATATAAACTACAATGCGCAATTAAACTAGAATAAGCTAAGAGTAAACTATTGCGAGTTGTTCAAATGGTTAAAAGGCACTAGGGTAGTGACTTTCGCCTAGGTGGTCAATTGACGGGTACTTGAGTCTAAGTCATGATTGACACATTTGGGGAGTATGATATAACCATTTCACGATTTTACCCACTCTACACCTCTAGGTGATTCGAGTGATTTTGCCTGAATTGACTTTTTCAAGACCAATTGGGTATGCAAACTTGCACAAGCAATCTAGGTTCAAGTCGGGTATTACTATCTCTAGATTTAACCCTTTAATTGGGGCTATCAATCTCTTACGCCTCAATTCCTTGTTGGACGAATTTCAGAGACTTAGACTCTCTTTCTCAAGAAGAGCCAAAATCAACTAAACACAAACTAGTATTTGCAACCACTAATTCAGAAAATAAACATGAAATTAGTCCAAATATCAAATATCCATAGACAATCAAGCATCAAAATACAAGATCCATCAATTACCCACACTAGGGTTGAGCCACAACCCTAGCTTATGGGTCTAGCTACTCATAATTAGAGAAGAAAACAAAGAAATAGATGAAGAAAAACTGATATTAATTAATTGCTAAGATAAACTAGAAGATTCAATGTTGAAATGAAGCTAAAATTGCCCAAAATAGCAAAAGAAACGGAATTCACGAGCGCAGCTCAGTACAAAAACTATCTGATGACCTAAAAATGGGAAAAGAAACTATTTATACTAAGTTAAAAAATCTGGACAAAAATACCCCTGCGGGGCTAGTGCGGACCGTACAAAATCACGTGCGACCGCACTAAGGATCTTGACTTAAAATCCAGCTCTCTAAACTCGGGCAATGCGGACCACACAGAATCGAGTGCGGCTGCGGTGGCTTTTAGTGCGGTCCGCATGAAATGGAGCGCGGACCGCATTGAGCTTCAATCTCCAAATTGGCACTTCTCTGATCCTTGGCTTTGCGGACCGCACTAAATCGTGTGCGGCCGCAGTGACTCCACTGCGGACCGCAGTAAATCCCATGCGGTCGCATTGCCTGTTTTGCCTGAGTTGCATACTCTTTGAACCTCACTTGTGCGGACCGCACAGAATGGTGTGCGGCCGCACTGGCCCTATTTTGCCTGAGCTTTATCTTGTCTTGATACTTGTGCAAGTTTCACTCCTTTTTGAGCTGATCTTTGACATTTTGTCACCTTGTTGATCAAACCTGCAATCAAGCACAACTTGTGAGCCTTTGAGACTATTTTGTACACATTTTTAATCAAAACTTAAGCAAGAAGGAGTATAAAATGCATCAAAATCCCTAGTTATCAGTCATCTCCAATAGTGAAAGGGCATTAAGTGATTGCAACTGCAGACAAATCCACAGTAAAGCTAATTTAAAACAGGAGAAGTTTTTTAAAAAGGGTGCTAGTGATCAGTCAGTTAAGTCATACAAAGGCAGAAGAGATGAACACATTCTCCAATTTCTAGGAATTCTATAGATGCCTGGATATTAACTTACTTAGAAGAATCAACTACTGTAATATGTACACCAAAAGGTTTGTGGAGCACCTCACTTCAGACAACCCACACTCCCTCACTCCCTGCACCAAATTCTAACATATGCTTGCAAGTCAAAACTTGAAGAGCAGGGCGGCAAGCCCAAGGGAGTGGTCACATCGAGTACGTCCTGATACGCTATGATGCCCCGGAGTGGCTAGGAGCGAGTCAAGTCTTTATCGAATCTACTCAACGAAGAGCAGTGCAGACGTAAATGATATTATCACGACCCCTCTTTTTGTACCGCTAGGGATGCTTAATGTCACTTTGTCAATTAGCATTACCTGCCTTTTATCCTAGTGAACAATGTTTCACCGATTAGGCGGGGACAGAATTCGAACTTGTAATTTTTAGGTCGATAGCCTGATGAGTTGACCAATTCCTCTACCTCGCATTCTCTTTCTTTCCTGTGAATTCAAACCACACAATGATTTTTCAGTCTAATTGAGCTACCTAAACCATTTGAAAAAAGTCTCCTTTCTTTATGTATTTTGGCTGCGACCTGAGTTTCCTTTTGAATTTTAGTTTAGCTGAGCTGCATGAACCACTTTGAAATAATTCTCCCTTCTTTATGTAAATTTGACTACAGCCTGAATTTTCTTTTGCATGTACACAGACATATTCAAAAGTGTTTCATCTTCACTCTGTTAGTCAAAAATGAAACAGCACGAGTTTTCTTGCAGCTACTATGCGTCAAAGAATCTCCCTATCGAACCCCAGTAAAATTAACTGATGAAATACAACCACCATGGAACGGTTTTCCCTACATATTTAGATAACATTGCAAATGGAAAAACAGCTCGGATCAGGTCTCTGTACGTTTATCAGTTTAGGAGTGAGACAAGGATACTCAAAATCTGTTTTTATCTCTTAGCCAGAAGTTGAATTTTCAAAAAAGCAGTTGAACTTGGCATAAGGTCATATTTGAATGTCACATAGATGAAGCTTACTCATGTTCTGTTTGTAATTTAGGCATTTTCTCAAATTGCAGAGAAACATATCTCCTTCATCACGAACACTGCAATTTTGGCGGACTGGTTTAAGAATAGGTATCTGTGAGACACCTTTCAGATAAGTAAAGAATTATCATGAATGGGAGTAGAAATATGGGTGGAAATAGAAGATGGTGCACATTCAAGCACCTCCATTATAGGGAGTTGTTCATGGTCTACATTGCAAAAACCCATCCTTGTTTTTCTTAGTGTTATCAAAGGCGCGCTTAAGCCCTAAAGCGAGGTTCAAAATGATATGGTGTCCATCTCATTCAAATGTTGGTAGCCAATTTTGTTGACTTGGTTTGGTTTGGTAGCCAACCTTGTTGAATTAGTATAATTTGGTAGCCAATTTTATTGACTTGGTTTGGTTTGGTAGCCAACTTTGTTGAAATTGTAAAAAGGGTGTGTAAATTGTCAAATATTGTAGGCTTTAGAGAGTGATGTTTTGGCTATAAAAGGAGAGCCTTAACTCTCATTTCTAAACACCAACAAAGAGAGAAAAGAGAGAGCAAAGTATTCCATAAACTATAAGAAAATAGTTTGTGAAGAAAAATAGAGTGTGAGAGATATTGTAGTGAGGTGGAAAAAGCAAAAGAGTGTTTATTTCTTTTGAGGGTGTAGTGGTCTTAGGAGTATTTTTACTCGTTACTACACAGTGTAAAATTCCTCGCTATAGTGATAACAGTTGCTCTTCTTGGCCGTGGTTTTTCCCTTATTCAAAAGGGTTTCCACGTAAAATCTTGGTGTCATTATTGCTGCATTTCTATTCTTGCTGATTTAACCATAACTTAGTGTTTTGCGCTTATCACTAATACCGTGAATACTATTTTTACGGGGTTTATTCCCAACACAAAATATGTTGAGCGCTTCACCTCGCGTAGCGGACACTTAATTATTGTCATCAAGGCTTTAAGGCATACTTATCCTTGCCAATGAGAATAATCCTGAAGAGACGATACTAAACAATTGTTATTTCAATTTATCATAAATCTTCTTCAATTTCTTTGTTCATATATTTGATATTCATGGTTATAGATATTAGTTTTGGACTACACATACATATTTGTCATTTTTCTCCATTTAAGGCTTTCTTCATTAGAGCTCACGCTTTATTTGTGTTTTGCGCTTAAAGTCCCAATAAACCTTAGATATTTTTTGCGTTTTTCGCCTTTTGATAACACTGATTTTCCTGTTGTCGTGCTAACAATAAGAAGAAATAAAGGAAAATTACTCTCTTTCTAGTAGTTTTGTGAGGTAATGAAAATTCACACGTGTTTCAATATAATAGTCCTAACTTTTAAAATTTTCCAATTTAGATTTATTTTATATGGGTTCCAAGTGATTTATTTTGATTTCTTAAACCAAAATACGATCAGATTCGAAATTGAAATATGTTATTTGTAGTGTAATCAAAAACATTTATATAGATTTTGAGTAAATTCCACCATGTGTTGGTAGAAAATGTTATGAAAACATGACATTAGTTATTCCATTAAATCGATATTGTTAATGGTGCAACGAAAAAAGTATTATTGTTACGGGAATTGTGAATTTAAAAGTTAAAAAGGAGAAATGGATATTGTCACGCGAACAAACACATATTGTATGATTTTTTTTATTTTTATGGTACACTGGAAAAGACTAAAAAGATTTAAAATTGTTCTTAAGCTACTTGACTTAAATTGTATTAGATGAATTACTGCACACAGTCTTGAAAGGAAAAGGCTTCTAAGTAACATTTGGTATAATAAATTTGGTATAACACTCAATATTTTGCAAGAAATTTGAAAGCTCGTGCGCCTTTAACTCTACCACAAAGCCGTCATTGTAAATATTAATCAAAGAGTATTTACTTGTGGTAAATATATTATCGTTGCTTATTTTCACTTTTTCCTTAAACAACCATAAAAGAACAGAGAGATCATAAGGGAGAACAAACCTCAACTTCATCTCATACTCAGCTTTCTCCATTGTCTCACGCTGTGCTGCGTCAATTGTTTCGACCTCCCTACCATAACAAGAGAGATATTTGTATTTAAAAGTTAAATCAGAGATTTTTCCCTAATATAACAATCAGAGTAAGCCTAAGATCTCCCCAAATGTAACAATCAGAGAGCCAAAGAAGTTTAGGTACATGTCCTTATTAAAGATTCCGATTAACCAGTGTGAATAAAGGAAATAAGAATTAAACTATTCATCTTCTCGAATGAAACATGATATATCAACCAGTGTTATCAAATGCGAAAAGTGTAAAAGAGCTCTAAGGTCCGTTGGGGTTTAAGCGCAAATAAAGCGGGGGCTTTATATTGAAGAAAGGCACAAACGGAGAAAAAAACACAAATATGTAGGTGCAGTCCAACATTAATAATTATACGCATGAATAACAAATATATGGACACAGAAATTGGAAAAAAAGAATTACGATAAGTGAAATATTAATTATTTGGTGTAGCCTCTTCAGGGTTACGCTCATTGTCAAGGAAAAATATACCTTAGAGCCTTGATGACGACACTGAAGAGCCATCTAAGCGAGGCGAAGCGCTCAACATGTTTTGCGCCTCACTTCGGGACTTAAGCGATCTTTAAGCGTGCCTTTACTGATATCAACTGAAAAGGATAACTAATTAAAGATACAAAATAGTTTATTTCATTGAGAGCCAATTAAATTGTAAAAAGAAGCATCATAAATGAACAAGTCGAAAATACAAATTTGAATTTAGCATAGAAAGCTAACATTCAAGAGTTGAAAATGGGTTGCCTGCACTTTTGACATCTTTTCAACATGGATGATTAACTTTATGGCATCCATAATTTAAACAGTGGGCTATTTGTTACTTCATCTCCATTTCCCTCAATCTGTAGTATTATCTTTTCACTTTAGAGGTGACAAATTTTCATGTTCAAATTCTTGAATATCGAGTACTTTTAGGAAATAATTGGATTAAGATCACACGATTTCAAGATCTGATTTGAGCATAAAATCCAACGAATAGGGGAAAGAAAACGTAAAAGGAAAGAGTAAGAAAGAATGAGAAGAAAAAATATAGTATTGTTTTTGGAAGAAGACTTTGTAGCTAATAGAAGGAGAGAATTACATAAAAAGAGAAAACACAAAATTTCAATACCAAATAAAAAAAAAACAAAACAAGGCATGAGGTACATACCAGTATTTGAGCTAAAATCCAACGAATATTAGAAATGTGACCGTTGTTTCTTAGAAGAGGAGGAGGAACTGGCTTCATTGGTCACCGAGTAATGATGTTCACTATTGTTATATCGGGTCCTCCTTATGCCAGTGGAATGATCTGTTGGTTCATTGTTATTTTCCCTCATTTGTGACAAGGCCTCAGCCTCAGCTTCTTCTTTATACAACAAACGAAGTCCATACTCCTTCATTTCTCCAGAAAAAGATAGCCTAATAACTCCATAGTCATTTGGTGTTTTTCCATTTGCCTTAGATGTATCCCATAAGACAGCAAGAGGTACCAACAAAAAATGAATATCAAAAAATGTAGCGAAGAAATGTATATCCTTTACTGAATTGTCGGATGATTCTGTATCACATTCTGAATGGTTGGATAAAGCAAGTTTCCGGGTCATCCACGACATCCCGTCATCACATACGGGAATCAATTGAGCTATGGTGTCAATTAAGATGCCATCGTAACATAGAGCAAATCCCAAGAATTTATCAGGTATGTACCAATTTTCAGGCAAATTGACTGATACACTTCTATCCCTTCCTTGTTGGAGGAACCAATTTGGGATCTTATTATAAGGATGCACAATGGTAAACACACTTTCGGACAAGGAATCTGAAGCAGAGATGTCATGCCTTAAGGAAGAGATATTCTGAAACAGGACATGAGTAAACAAATTATATATAGAATCATTGCGTGCATCATCAAGTTTCACCCTCTGTAGTTTCTTTCTCTTTGTTACTAAATCATGGATAAATTTCATAGCCATATGACAATCTACATGCAATTCATTTAATTCAGGGGGAATTTCTGGTAGCTGTGTAAGCCTCTCGCAATATGATAAGTCTAAGGATCGAAGAGCACCAAGTTGGGCTATGCTTCGAGGCAAATGCTCAAAATTATTTCCATTGAGATTCAAATATTTTAAAGAGGATAAGGATCCAATGTCTTCCGGAAGTCCTCCATCTATTAGATTGCAGTAACTGAGATCCAGATCTTTCAATGACCATAATCCTTCAGCCACTGGAGGGAACTCAAAGTGCACTTCGATGTCTCCGGAGCACCTAAAGCTCAAGCTGTTAAGTTTGTTCAAGCGTACGATGGAAGACGGAGGTCGTGAAATTAGAGTATCACTGGCATAAAGCACCTCCAAGTTGTCTAAATCCCCTATCTCTTCTGGCAAACTTTCCAGGCTTGAGCAATCAGACACATATAATTGAACCAAACTTTTCAGCCTACAGATGCTGCTTGGAAGAACTACAAGGTTTTCCATATCGCTCAAATCTAGGCAGGTAATACGAGTCTGGTAGTGAAAACTAGATGATGGTAGTTCACTTATCCCAGATCTCATGTGAATCGGTGTCTCCAGCTTCATTCTCCCGCGGAATTCTGGAAATTTCTCTAAACTTGAGCAACCTGGTAAATCCAAATGCTGAAGAGATTCCACGTTAACACATGGAAACCTCTCAAGGCTTTGACACCCCCTCAAATCTAACCGAATGAGTTTGCTGCAACATCCCAAGGAATGGTGAACCTCTTCAAGATTAAAACAAAAAGACAGATCCAAATACTCCAAATTTGGCATCCCCGTGAAATCTGGTGTTCGCATCAGGCTTTCAGAGCCCGTGAGATTTATCGTCCGTAGAGACGGCAAATGCTGTTCAGAACATACAGAATGAGATAGAGAGAGGGAAAAAAAGAACCTATTTTGCTACTCCACAGGATTCCAATAATATAAATTACAATAATTTTTTTGAGATGGAAACACATTAACTTGAGCTTATGGAATTAATAACTTTTGTTCATTTAAAGACATGCATTGTAATTCTAGCAAAAATAGAAAGTACCTCAAATAATACGTGACAAAAGCAATAATATTTGTTCCTTATCACTAAAATAAAGTACAAAGATAGTTAGAGAGAAAAATAGAACTCAACTATTGTACCTTTGTTTCCATCCATAAATAATGCAGTGAACTACGCGAGAGTTCAAGGTGAACAAGCATTTTGAGATCAAATGTAGATGGCAATGACTCCCAAGGATAGTCATCCAAGACAAACCAACGCAAGTTGTTGGGCAGATACTCAATGGAACCATCATGGCTAGTACTGGACAGATACCTCTTTATGTGTAATATCCTAAGCCTTTTCATATTTTTCATGGCATCATTGCTAAAGTATAGGCCAAAATCATAATGAACCCAAATTACTTCCACTGACATGGTCCCCTGGTAAGAAGATCATTAGGATATACTGATGTTACTTTAGAGAAATATTTTTTGCAATTAGTTCTGTAGTTTTATTTTCTAATATTACATTTTTATTAGAAGTTCATTAGAGTCAAGTTTATAAGCTTTTCATGTTGCGATAGAAAGAAATCGCAATTGAAGCAATACCAACAAATTGTAGTGACTTTTTAAAATAAAAATAAAAAACAATGCTAAAGTGAATCAGTGATTGAATTATTATGTAATAAAATGTCATAAAATTTTCAAGTTAATCCAAAGAATGAAATTGGATCAAACAGATTAAGTGGCTACTACCTAGACGAATCAATCCGGCAAAAAATATAAGAAAAATGAATTAGGCAATGTAAATTAAAGAGTCTACTTAACGAATTAGGCAATTAATGTTTTTTTACTAATTAGGCAATTAATATGACTTTTGCTTCTCCTACTAACTAAAGTAAACAACTAAAATTAATGAAGTACATGTAAGACTATGAAGCAAGATGAACAAATAATTGGAATTGACATGCCCTATGTGTCTTTGGAATATAAACATTAGAAATTAAATATTATTGCATTGCTTAGCCTACTTACTGCATTGTTGTTCATCACTTCTTCGACATCCTCGGCGAGCCATAGTCTGCTACGTTCTCCAGGATCTTTTTTAAAATTCACTATATATTTACCCATATCCTGTATTAAGTCATGCATTTCAACCTGATTATATTCAGAGATGAACACAAGAGATTTTTCAATTAAGACATCCAATCCATATTCAGCTCCAAAATGACAACTCTTGAGAACTTGCATGATGTAATCTTTTTGTCTCCCTCGGAAGAAGCATGCTATATCTAGGAACATCTCTTGTTGCATGGACTCTAATCCATCATAACTAATTTTCAGCTTTTCAACAATTTTTGAATTAGGATTAATTTTCATTTGCTCTATAGCACTTTTCCACACAGTTATATCCCTCTTATGTAAGGAAGAACCCCACACTTTGAGGGCTAAAGGAAGGCCTTTAGCATGATTTACTACCTCCAATGAAAGCTCCTTAAAACACTCATCTGGAACCTCTTTTTTGAAAGCATGTTGATAGAACAATTGAATGGCTTCATGATCAGGTAGTGCAGTCACTTCATATATTATATCATTCTTCCCAATCAAATGCTTGTCTCTAGTTGTTACAATAATTCTACTGCCATTACCAAACCAATCAAGATCACCTGCTAAATACTCCAAATAATGATCTTTATCATCTATGTCATCAAGCACAATTAGGACCTTCTTAGAACGAAGTCTACTAGCCATTTGGTGCTTTCCATCGTCCTCATTATTGTAATTAGCATTTTCCCTTAAAAGTTCAAAGAGAAGGGTATTTTGAAGAGAATGCATTCCACGTTTTTGAAAAAGAGAAGCAAATCCAGAAGCAGACTTAAAGATATTGAGTGCTATCATTGCAGGAAGAGAGGGCATACAAAGAAGTTTTGCCGGATTTTGAAAAAGGAGAATAGAGACAAGGAAGAACAGAAAGAAGATGGCAATCGTGTGGCCAGCGTCACTACAGAAGATCTTTTTACAGTCCTTGATGCGGATCTGATAAATATTACTTGTGATGAGTCAAGCTGGGTTGTGGACAGTGGTGCCGCATCTCATGTGACATCAAGGAAGGAATTTTTCTCATCCTATACTCAGGGTGACTTTGGAACTCTGAGTATGGGTAATGAGACTATATCTTGGGTGGCTGGTGTTGGAACGATTTGTTTGGAAACTAGTATTGGAACGAAACTAATTTTAAACAATGTAAAGCATGCACCTGATGTTCGTTTGCACTTGATCTCTGTTGGTGTTTTGGATGATGAGGGATATGTCAGTACCAATGGTGCTGGAAAGTGGAAGCTCACTAAGGGCTCCATGATTGTGGCTCGTGGGGAAAAGCGTCGTGGTCTATACTGGACTACGGCCTCTACCTGTGTTGATATGGTGAATGCCGTTGAGAGCCATAACTCTTCAACGTTATGGAATAAGAGGCTTAGCCACATTAGCGAGAAAGGACTAAATGTTCTGGCCAAGAAGAAATTGTTGTTAAATTTTGAAAGTGCAAAATTA